CTGCCCCCAGCTTCCCTCCCCAGCACGCCTGCCCCCAGCTTCCCTCCAGACCGTCCCCCTGCTTGACTCCCTGTCCTGTGGCACCAGGCCAGGCCCTCCGTCCCTCTTCCCGCTCCAGCTTCAGGGGCCATTTACCTGATGGCACTCCTATCCCCAGGCCCCTCCACTGAGACTCCTGCTAGAGCATCCACTGCACACCTTCCACCCACCCCTCAAACCCTAACAGTGCTGAGCATCGCGGTGCTCGGCCAGACCCTTGGAGGGGCCTCCACCTACTCCCTCTATCCTGTCCTGCCTCCTGCCGCCTCCCACATTCTCTCCAGGGGCTGGCCCCTCGCCCCACCTGTCCAGCCCCTCCTCTAGGTGCTCCCAGCCTGCTGCCTCTCCCCTCCGCAGAGCCTGGCCGTGCCCCCTTCCCAGGGGTGAGAGGTGGCCTCTGGGGTACAGCCCGGTTCCCCTCCAGCCTCACTCGCAGCCCCTCCGTCTCCCCCACTGAGCCTGACTTGGCTGCGCACTTCAACTGCAGGCTTCTGCACAGCTCCTCCTTGGTGCAGAGCTGTCCCTTCGCTCTTTGTGGGTCCCTCCTCATCACGTTCAACTCAAATGTCCCCTCCTCAGAGAGGTCTTCCCTGCCTGGCCTAGCTGGAGAGACCCCACTCTGGGTCCTGCTCAGACACACAGCCCTGTCTCACAAGCTTCATAACCTCAACGGACACACCCCAGGCTGTGTCTTCCTCTCTCCTCGAGGGCAAGAACCTGATCTATCTTGTTCTCGGTTCCTAGGAGGGGATCTGGCATATCCGAGGAGGCCACAGGAGGAGCGTGCTGCTTGATTTCGCTCTCTCTCGAGGGTGGGGCAGGGGCGGAGAGGCCAGCACCCCGCCACAGGATGCACAGGGAGCTGATGGTGCTGGCTCTGAGTCTTGCTCTCCACCCAGATGCCCCAGGGAGGGACACGGTAACTGCAGCCCTCAGAAAGCCAGCATGACAATGCCAGGCACTCTTCGTGAACCTGGATCCTAGCCCTCTTGCCCATGAGAAAAATGCCACCAACAACCTAGATGCATCTGGGCCTGGGGCCAATCATGGCCTCAGTCGTCACACCAGGTGGCCCCAGCACCTGTATGTGTGCAGAGTTCCCACAGCCCAGGCCCTGGACTCAGATGGTGCTCACATTCATTGGTGGCAGGTGAAGATCTGATCATGGATGAGGATGGGGAAGGCTTCCAACCTGCAACAGCTCCCCGGGGTAGTCCTGGCCTCTCTCCAGAAGGGGCAACTCTCTCTGCTTCACCATCAGCACAGAGGACGAGAGACTGACAGTCAGCACCCAGGACAGCGCCAAGCATCAAGAGGGCCAGGCCCCACCAAGGCAAGCAGGACCCCCACAAGGACACCACATCCTCCCTAGCTCCCCTAGTCTATTTCCCACCACCTCTCACTCCAATGACAGCACCAGCCTCCGAAGGGGCTTCCCTGCCTCCACCTTCACTCGCTGCTGTCAGCATCCCAGAAAGATGTGAAAACAGAAGCTGAAGAGCCACATCTGTCTGTAGGAAGGGCAGGCTGGAGGCTCTGACCTCCACCTTTGTGTCAATTTCTGAGTTAAACTGAGGCAGCCTGAGGAACTCACCAGACTCACAGACCACAGAGCCCGGTCGAAGCTCCAGCATCATGGTGATGAGGGCAATGTCCGTGGAGTAGAGGATCTGCGTGCGGTGTGGCAGGTTCAGTGTCCAGAGCTCAGGCGTGGGGTGCAGCACATACACCCAGCCACCTCGGCCACACGTCACCTTGGAGCCGAAGGGGCGGCCGATAAGGTCAACTGAGTGTCGCAGGACACCATGCCGGGTCTGGGTCTGTGCCCCACGCTGCACACGCACTGCCACCATTGCACCATGGCCCAGTGACAGGATGGCTGTGTCACCCTCCTTGATCAGCTCCTCGTATGCCACGAAGCTCATGGTGTTAATACCTAGTAAGTGCCAAGGACCTGGAGAGGGGTGTGTGTAGGCATGAGCAAGTCAGGAGGCAGGAGTAGGGCCTGGGGTCTAGGTAGAAGGCTGAGATCCCAGCAGCGGGCATGGGCGGGGTGTGGCTAGCTCAGCCTCTGCCACTGCCTGACAGGGAGCCCAACAGCGCTGCACTCTGGTCTGACCTGTGCAGCCTTTCTTGGTCTAGGACAAGAGACAGGGACTATGAGCTTAAATCATAAATGAAAAGACTGGGGCTGGGCAATGGCGGAGGTTGGTCCCAAGGATTCCCAGAGTGAGGACCCGACCCTCCCATCACCCTTCTGCAGGAGCTTCACTCCTATTCCCGAGGTGTGAGATGAGAAAGCGCCTTTGCGAGGTGTCCACTGGTTGGGGGGAGGCCTCCAAGCCAGGCTTGATTCCTCGCCCCAATCTCCCCCACAACAGGCTCCTGAGTGGGCGGGGAACAGGGTATGCCGGAGGGGTACGGGCTCCCCAGGAAGGGCCGTCAACGCAAACACCACCCAGCCGGTGCAGAAGCAGCGAGGGGGCAGGCCGGGCCGGCGGGGGCCGCCCATGCGAGGCTGGAGAAGCAGGCCCTGCGTGCCGCGCCGGCCCGGACCACCCTTACCCTCGCCCTGCCATCCTGGGCCCCGCAGAATCTCACCCGCGACTCTCCCTCCGCCGGGGCTCCACACATGCCTCCGCGACACGCGGCGGCGGCCACAACACTTCAGGCTCCGCGCCCGCTGATGACGTCGCGCCCCGCCCCGCCCTCTCAGCGCACGGGATCCTGGGAGCGCCAGGCTGCCCTTCCCGTCCCTCCCAGAGGACGTTTCCTGGGCGACTTCTGACTTTATGTGAGCTGCTCTGTTTACACTTGCTGGTTGCTGGAAGATCGGAAGACGGGACAAAATCCAGAGGGCGGGCGGGCAGCCAGCGCGGTGGCTGTCGCCTATGAGCCCGCGTTTTGGGAGGCCGAGGCAGGAGGTTCTCCTGAGGTCAGGAGTTCGAGACCAGCCCGGGAAACGAGTGCGACCCCACCATCTGTACAAATAGTAACAAACAAAAGGGCGCCCTGTCCTGCCGGCCGCGGGTGGCCGTCATACCCAGCCACATTTGAAGGGATTCAGGAGCCAAGGCGTGGCTGTCACTGCTGTCCAGGACCCCTTTGACAGGCCCTGGGATTTCACCAGAGAGCTGGCCCGTGGTCCTGTATGAGGAAGCTTTGCCACAGACATTTTGTCATTGCAGACTGCTCTGGGAACACCCCTGACTAGGCCCCAAGATGAGTTCCAGAAAATAAATCGCAGGTCAAGGGGCCATCCCAAAAGGCTTGGGCTAGGGTCAGTCAGAGGCACAGAGATAGGGGCCTGGAAGAGTCTGCAGACGTGGCCTTCTGCTCAGGCCCTGCCTCCACCGAAGGGGACACGTTCTGAGTGCAGAGCTGCTTCTAGGAGGGAGAGGGGGTCCCGTGTCCCCTTCTGGGAACCAAGGCTCAGTGAGAGCTGGATGACTTGGGCCCACTTGGGTCTGGTGAGGAGCCAAGCAGGAGACGGAGGAGGAGCTGCTGGAGAACAGGCAGAAAAGAGAAGCGGGAGAAGCGGGAGAAGGGGGAGTGCTGTTCTGTCTCCACAGTGCTCTTCTCAGCTGGCTCCTCTGTGGAATGTGTGCAGAAGAGCGGGGGCAGGGCACGGGCGTTTTCTTCCTCCAGCCCTTAGCTCTCAGGGCCAGGTCTTGGAGAGGAACAGAGACCCCTCCCCACCCACCCAGCCTAGGGTTTAGCCTGCACCCAAACCCAAGCCAGTTAGCAATGACCTTAGGCCACCCTCCCCAGCCGCCACTCCAGCCTGGTAAAATGAGGTGGCCATGCTCCTTCAGAGCCAGCTCTGTTCTGGGACCTTGGCAGCCTGTGGGCACTCTCAACTCTCTCGCCTCTGGGGCAGGCCAGGCCAGGGCATCTGTGGCCCTTACCATGGGCTTCTCGGGGTCCATCATAGAAACCCAGGGGTCCGGCCGGGCGCGGTGGCTCAAGCCTGTAATCCCAGCACTTTGGGAGGCCGAGGCGGGTGGATCACGAGGTCAAGAGATCGAGACCATCCTGGTCAACACGGTGAAACCCCGTCTCTACTAAAAATACAAAAAATTAGCTGGGCATGGTGGCGCGTGCCTGTAATCCCAGCTACTCAGGAGGCTGGGGCAGGAGAATTGCCTGAACCTGGGAGGCGGAGGTTGCGGTGAGCCGAGATCGCCCCATTGCACTCCAGCCGGGGTAAAAAAGGAAAACCCCCCCTCAAAAAAAAAAAAAAAAAAAAAAAAAGAAACCCAGGGGTCCAACCTCAGCCCCTCTGTGTTCTGGCCCTAGCTGGGCCTGGAGCTGAGAGCCCCCAGGAGTAAGATGGTGAGAGGCCTTCAATAGCCTCCCGCTTTCTGTGGGCTCCTGTCCCTGTGGGGCCACCACGCTGGCCACCAGCTGCCTCTACATCTGCCTCATGGCCTCCCTGCCTTCTGCTCTCAATGTCGAGACAACCCAGTCCCATCCATGGCTCCCCAACCTCTGTTCCAGCAGATGCCGCTCTCCCTTGATGATGCACCTGCCTGAGTTACCCCCTAATTGCTCCCCTGGGGGATTCTGACTTTGCATTTCTCTTGGGCTTCTCTTCCCCAGCCTCTCAGCTGTGGTGTAGAGTTAAGTCAGCTGCTTATATGGGCCTGAGTTAGGATTTGGTGACTCGGTGGTGGTTTCCCTTGGTTCCAACTTCCCACTTGCTTCTCTGTCCATTACTGGCTGGCCAGCTCCTCCAGTGCCCCCTCCTCCAGGCAGCCTTCTCAGCCCTGCCCATCTGCTCCATCTGCGCCTGCCCCAGTCCCCAGCCTGAGTCATCAAGCAGAACGAACGCCCCTACCTCAGCTGATGATTCCCTGCACAGTTTGTACTGGGGCTCCCCACAAGGGCTGATGCCACATATGCCCAGCTGTGTCATTTCACTGAATTCTCCCCTGGATCCTATGAGGGAGGGAATAGTTTATAGATGGAGAAACAGAAACTCAGAGAGGTTAAGTAACTTGCCTAACATCACAGCCAGTGAGGTCAAAGTGGGATTAGGATTTGAAGCCAGTAGCTCAGCACTGAGGAGGCTGAGAAGGGAGGACTGCTTGAGGCCAGGAGTTGGAGTTCCCCCTGGGCAACATAGCAAGACACCGTCTCTTAATTCATTAAGAATTAAAGCCAGTAAACTGGCTTCAGAGAATGAATGGCCGATCTGAAGAAAGGTGGGAACAGGCAGGAAGGATGCCCACAGGGGAGGCTGCTCTGTCACGCCCCTGGCAGGGACCTCCCTCTCTGACCAGCCCAGTCTCCTGCCCCATTGTGCTCTGTGACCCCGTCAGCCCCTGCCCCTCTCCTGACCTCAGCCCACTTCCTCTTCGGGTTCTGCAGAACTCAGGGGCAGGGCAGTTGGAGGAGGCAGTGCTGCCTGTGCTTTGCTCTGGGAGCAGACTCCAAGGATGGCCCCCAAGCCGCCTCATGTACTGCAAATAAGAGGCCTGGGCCTCCTTTGAAGCCACCTCTAGGCCCAGTGGTTCATGTGTAGCCAGGTGTGATTTCTGAGGAACCTGGACCAAACACTGGTCTGGTAACATCACCAGCCTTCAGCTCCTTGGGCCCTCAGGAAAGCAGGGGTCTGCAGATGGGGCAGGTGAGCTGGGGGGAGGCCGGCACCTTCCAGACCCTCCCCTTGTGCCCTTGCTCTGGGGGCCACTAAGGCTCCCAATCAGCCCCTGCCTGGGGGGCCTCACCCTGATACTTGCGTCTCAACTGCTGCTGCTGCCCCATCACAGCTGCCTGGCCTCTGCCCTGTCGGTCGGCCCCAGGCAGCTGGCACAGGGCTGGCACTCTGCGAGGGTGGTGGGAGTACTGGGCCTATGACTGGACACTTCTGTCACCCAACTTCTTTTTTTTTTTTTTTTTTTTTTGAGACGGAGTTTCGCTCTTGTTACCCAGGCTGGAGTGCAATGGCGCGATCTCGGCTCACCGCAACCTCCGCCTCCTGGGTTGAGGCAATTCTCCTGCCTCAGCCTCCTGAGCAGCTGGGATTACAGGCACGCGCCACCATGCCCAGCTAATTTTTTGTAGCTTTAGTAGAGACGGGGTTTCAACGTGTTGACCAGGATGGTCTCGATCTCTTGACCTCGTGATCCACCCGCCTCGGCCTCCCAAAGTGCTGGGATTACAGGCTTGAGCCACCGCGCCCGGCATGTCACCCAACTTCTGATCTGTCTGCACACTGAGACCAGCTGGGCAGCACAGCGAGACCCGTCTCAACAGAATAAAAACAAAAATAAAACAATCTTCTGTCTGCACAGTGGGGACAAACACACCCACCTCAGAAGGCTGAGGGTTGCCAGGAGCCCCCGACCGGACCCACCCCAGGGCCCGGCTCACTGCTTGCCATAGGCAGTCCTGCTCTCCAGACCTCACCTCTGCAGTTCTGACCTTGCCTGTGGTGGGAAGGGCAAAAGGGGTCCTTTCCCATGGGGGCCTGGGGAAGCAGGTTAGGCTCTCTGCCAGGAGGGTGAGAGAAGGGAGGGGTGGCCTGAGAAGCTGCAGATGCTGAAGACAGAGGAAGTCCTGAGTGTCCCCTCAAGTCCCTCCCTGCCCCAAGTCAGCCTCCAGGGGCTGCAGCTATCCCTTCTAGAAACAGAAACTTAAGCCCTTCAGGCTTTGTGGGGTGGGGGGTGGGCAGCTGCAGAAATGTCTAAAATTGGGGAAAGAGGCTGCAGGGGCACAGAGAGCAGGAATTCCAGGCTTAAGGGACACCTGCTGTCTGGCCAGCCCAGAGGGGCCATTTGCCTTTTTACATGGGTTGGTTTTATTAGTCTAAAAAAGGCTGACTTGGAACAGGACAAAGCATGCCAAGCAGGGAAGAGGCATGTGTCTCCTCTTCAGTGACCACGGGGATGGGGCAGAGCCCCATGGCCAAGCAGGGAGGAGGCATGTGTCTCCTCCGCAGTGACCACGGGGATGAGGCAGGGCCCCACACTGATGCTCATACAGGCAGAGGTGGACAGGCTTCCCCTGCCTTTGCGCCTTGGCTCTGGTGCCTTCTCCTCAGAGGCACCTATTCAGGGTCTCTTATGCCTGGAACTGCTGTGCCATGTCCCCCCAACCCCAGCAGCACTGATCTCCTAATGTCATCTGGTTTGCTGGGCTGCTGGCTCATGGCCAGTCTTCCTCCAGCAGCAGGCACTGTGCACCTTGCTGCCTGCTGTATCCCCAGCGGCTGGCACTGGGCAGGTGCTCACTGTGCCGTTGCTGGAGGAGTTTTTGTCAAATACACCCACAGATAAGGGTTCCCCCCTTCCTGGCTTTAGTCACAGAGCAACATATGGGGTCCTTGATAGATATTAACCCCACATGCTCCACTTCCCCCTCTTAACAGCTGCGTAATACTCCACAGCAGGCAGATGCCTCCCCATCCTTAGCCAGTCCCACCTGATGGGCATCGGCGGGTATCCAGACGTGTTTGTTTTTCCCTTCACAGATCTCCTGGTCCATTAGTGGACAGAACTGAGACATCCCTCCTAAGGGCTGCATTCCTAGAAGTGGGATTGCTGGGTCACAGAGTTCGAACATTTTTAACGTTAATAGATTCTGCCAAATTACCTTGCAAAAAGCATGCAGCAATTCAAGTTGCAGGCAGCATGTGCATGCCTGTCTCCCTGCATTCCAGCTCATAGCCAGCACTGG